TTTAGGAGAGATAACAAAAAGATAAACTTTAATTTTACACACAGCTACAAAAGAATTGAAATTGGGGAGAGCCATGACTTTTTCCATGTCCTGAAGGTACACAGCACATGGAAAAAGAAGAAGAAGAAGAAATTGTTGTTATTGCAATTTTGATTTGTTTTTCGATACTTCCATTTTTATTATGACAGTAACAACCAACATATTAAAACCAAAAAATGTTAACAGAAAAATGTATTTTTCATACTAATTGGGCCAGGCCATTTTCTACAGTAAAAGCTACATCAATTTGCCAGGTGATCCTAAATTATACCTAGTTGAGCAACACCCAGTGATGTGGTTTCTGTTAATTGGTACAGTTCTTTGTGATTCTATAATGCCAGTCCATAATGTCCAAAGAAGGACAGTCTTTACCAAGACCCTCAGCTGCGCTCACTTAAAGCCATTTTTAACCATTGATCTTAGAAAGCAGTTGTATACAGCTGACATTTTATATATTTCTGAATGGGTTGGGCACCATACGTAGCATCCATATGATAGTCTCGATCTAACAAGGATATTTAAGAACATATTTTGTTTTTGTAGTAATTTTTGTTGTTGGGTGAAATTACCTCTAGTGCAGCCTATTCTATATTCTATTTCCTTATCTTCTCTACTAAATTTCTTATAACTGATCCATATGTCAAGGTATTTGAAATGTCTAGTATTTACTAATTCCACATCCTAAATTTTTATGATGGATTCAGGGTAGGTGTCATCATTGCTTTCATTACAATTCCAGATCATAGTTTCTGTTTTGGAAAGGTTTATTTTGAGTCCTATTTCTTGTAACACTTTTAGGCTTACAGCCATATCACATTGGAACATTGGTTACCGTACGATCACTGAAGCTAAGAAATGTCGAGTCTGGTCAGTACCTATATTGGTGAATGCTTGGGAATACCAGGTGCAGTAAGCTTGGATGTGCAGGTGGTGTAATGGATAATTTCTCAGAATTGTTAACTGAAGATTAGAGTTCTAATTCTAGTTGGATTTGATATATTCACTCATAGGTAAATACATTTGGGAAAGGTATGAATCCACCTCTTCTCCCTTCAGCTATGGGTTAATTATTAAAACCTGTATCACTAAATCATTATTATCACCAAAAAAAATATTTTTACAATCTAAAAATATATTGGTAGAGGATGTTGATTTTCTGTTTGAGCATTCTTATACCAACTATGAATACCTATGTTATCAGCAGAGCTCACCTAATCATCAGTATATTAGGCTCAAAAAGAAAAGCAGGATAATTATCTTCTACTGGTAGATCCTTTGGGATTTGATATGGACTGCTTAAATGATCAGTGCCCATCTCTTCACATATGTGCTTGTATATGTACAGGGCATAGTCTAGGAAAAGATTAAATAGACTCATTTCAAATTTGTATCCTAATGAGCTTTGAAATGTTTCCGTATTGTCGTCTTCACCAGACTTTTAAGATTTTGTAGTGTCTCCTCAGTATTCTTGTCACTTTTAGTAATGTTGCTTTCTGAATGATTTCTGTTCATAGGTACAGCCCTAAAAAATCTTATTTATTTTTAAAATGCCTGTTTTTAATGCTTTCATTTTTTGTTTAATTTCACATTTTCTCTTGAATTTTTCAGGTTCTATCAAAATGAAAACTGAACAACTCTTTCCTTGTTTATATGTCATTTATTTCCTTTGCATTTTCTGTTAAGATAGCAAGAAAAAAGATAAATCTAAAATACCAGCTTACAAACAGTCTAAAGAGTAGATAACCTCCTCCACTGCCATTAACTATAAGAATCCTTTTGATGCTTTTCGGAATTCTCTTTTAAATGCCATAACAGATGATGTTTGTTTTCCTCATAATGATTCATCATTTAGAAAAAGGATTTTTGTTTCATATTTTTATGTACTTGCTAGTTCCTAAAAAGAGAAACATGACTTGAGATTTTATTTCCCATGATAAGCATATATATATCAAAAATCAAAAATAGCCCCCGACTTTGTTTTTAGTATATGTCCATTTTAGTGTTTCTTTCTTAAAATGAGCAGAACAAATAATGTTTTTTTCTGAAAGACAAAGGGAGCATATGTTACAAGGAGAATGTTTAAATAAGGTTTTGGTTATTTTATATATACTTCATATATATATATATATATATATATATATATATATATGTGTGTGTGTGTGTCTGTGTGAAAAATTTCTCAGAGTTAACCTGTAGAAAAAGGCAATATGTATAAAGGTAAAAGATAATAGGAAAACTATATTATTAGCCGATGTGTTTCATCCAATATGAACTTTTTCAAGGCAAAAACAAAATGAATTTATTGAAAACAAAGTAACTATTAACAACAAACAAAATGTTCCTAGCAACTAGAAAAATTTAGAAAACCGTATTGTATTCATATTGTCAACTGAAAATTATGTCAACTACTTTCACAGCTAATAATACAGTTTTCCTATTGTCTTTTAACTTTATACATATATATGTGTGTATGTATTATGAGAGTGTAGTCCATAGCCTAATATATACTTTAATATTTGTTTGAAATTTTCCTTTCCTAATGTATAAGGTATAAGATTAATATTCATCAATGCATTAAGTGTATTCACAAGTAATGAGATTATGCTGAATATTACATTTTGTTCATCAAAAGTCTATTAACCTAATGATTTATTTTACAAGATAGATATATTCATTATCTGTCTATATTTCTATATTTCTGAGATGAGGTATTATGTACATTATTTACATCATTTGGACTATTGTCCTCATCTTTGTTGCCATATTTATTACAATGTTTCGTTTATTAATAAAGGGTTCAGTTCAACATTCCAACCACCTGAAGAAGGCTGGAGCATACAACGGCCAAAATGTTGTAATAAATATGGCGACAAAGATGAGGACAATAGTCCGAATAATAATAAATAATGTAGATATATTCATATGTATGTATATATACATTACAACCAAAACAAAGGGCATCTATCTATATATATATATATATAGTGGTTAGGACATTCACTTTCTGAACATGAGACCAGGTTTGAATCTCACTATGGTTGATTTGTCAGGAAAGAGGGGTGATGATCCCAGTGTGCAGCACCTTTGGAAAGTGCCTGAAACCATACCACGGGTTGACCCAAGTCTTATGAGTGAAATTGGGTAGACAGAACACTTGGGGTCGTCGATAGCTGTGCTAGCACAAATTTATGTTGTTGTGACTGAGGGTTTGAGTGTGCTGGCTTTGTTCAGATTGTTGATCAGGATAGATAACACACTCTCTCTCCCAGAAACTGTAACTAAGGTCTGCTCAGCATAGTTGCAGTTTAAACCACAGGTGGGCTCAGTGGGTCTTGAACAAACACAAATGTGCCTGAGCAAGTGTGTGAATTAGGGATGAGCTAGCCGTCCTAGTAGACAGGTATCTTTGAATATGAGTGGCCAGCTAAATATAGATATAGATTAAAACTATATTTTTATCATATCATATATATATATATATATAAATGCCTAACTCCCCAAAGAATACTAGGATGTAGACAAAGGAATTCTAACTACCACACAGACACCACTTTGGTTCTTGATAATGACTGCGAAAGTCAAAAGTACTTGAACAAAAATAATAAAACATGATCCTTGGACAGTTTATCCAAATTCAAACACAATACTCAACACCTTATCCAAAAATTGGAAAAATACGATAAAAAATTAAAGACCAACATACTTGCTGCCTAAATATACTTTATTTAAATTGCATGACCCTAGAGTAAAAAAGGACACTAATACAGAAAATTATCGAGATAAAAATTGTACTAGGGATTGACAAGCTTCCTCACACTAAAATCAAAAAATAGACTGATGTCATGGAAGAAGTTGTGATCCCCATGAGTGACTACACTATAGGTAGTAACTACCTATAAGTATCTGTAAGTCAATGGACTACAGATTCTAGCTGTGATCTGTTCGAGCTAAACAGTCAAACTATCTGTCTCTGAGCAGAGTGGAACCTGGATGAGGCTCCACTGAAGGGCAGAGTCACATTCGGGGAGGTAGACTGCCCCTGAAACTGTTTATATGGGTTCAAAAAGGGAATATTTCTGGCCGAGCCTATGGGCTCGAAGAACCCACGTTAAACTGGCCTTGTGCCACATGCAACCCTTGTGGGGGGTAGCTAAATATACTAGCTGGGATCTATTGAGTATGACCCAGACTTACACCAGAACCACCAACCTTCCAATAGTAGCACTCACTGCTGGATTGACTTGCGATGACCTTGTGCCTAACTGTTACCTTTATTCTTATTGTACTGGTTTTACAATAAACCTTTACTTATTTTATCCACCCTGTTTTCAAGTATATGTTCCTATTAGCATGGAATATAGACAATACCCTAAAATCCTCCACTGACAACTACAAAAATATTCTAAAATACGTTTCAACTACAGTAAGTAGGGAACATAGTAAGCACAAAATGACAATCCAAAAAATGCTGAACAAATCTTCCAAATTCCTCTGATTTTCATGATAATTGTTCTGTGGAACTTTGCTATATGGTCCCTAAATATTATGAATTTAAGTGCAATACTAGATTGGCAAGTAGGTCTCATCATCTTACAGTTAAAATGGCAAGATGTCACCATAAGTTCTATGCTAATAGTTTTTCTTCTCACAATTTTTGCTTGTGGAACTTTCTACCAGTTTCTTGCTTTCCAGTCAATTTTGATCTTCAAAAAAATGTATTATCTTCTGTCTTCCCTTTTCCTGTTCTTTTATTGTTCCCATTCCTTAATAATGTTTTTCTTTTATTCTTTCTCACTCAGTACATCCTTGTATCTTTGTGGCTTTATTGCCTTGCTTGGGGTGAAATTATTAAAAATATATATTATGATGCAGAATGCTTTTTATGGTTAGAAAGTTTTGATCATCATGAGTTTGCAGGTATTGCATGAATGTGGGGAGTGGGAGTTTAAAAGAGAGAAAGATTAATAAGGGTTGAGGGAGGAAGAATCTAAGTTGGAACGAAGAGAAAAGAGTGAAAAACAGTTGGTAAAAGTGAGTGAGCAAGAGAAAAAGATCTGAACAGACAGAGGTAAATCAAAAGAAAGAAACAGAGGAAAAGAGACTCCCCAATAGAAAAGATGATGATTTATATATGAGAGAGAGAAAGAAAAAGAGAGAAAGTATGAAGTTTATATATATATATATGAGAGAAAGAGAGAGAGAGTATGAATATATACATATGAGAGAGGGAGAAAAGGAGAGAGTATGAAGTTTATATATATATGAGAGAGAGAAAAGGAGTGAGGGTATGAAGCTTATATACATATGAGAAAGAAAAAGAAAGGGAGAGAGAGTAAGAAGTTTATATACATATGTGAGAGGGAAAAGCAGAGACAGAGAAAGAAGTTTATATACTTATGAGAGAGAAAGAAAAGGAGAGTGTATGAAGTTTATATACATATGAGAGAGAGAGAGAGTATGAAATTTATAAACATATGAGAGAGAGAGAAAAAGAGAAGTTTTATATATATATATATATATATATATATATATATATATGAGAGAAAGTAAGATGTCTGTATAAATATGAGAAAGGGGGAGAGAGAGAGTATGAAATTTATATACATATGAAAGAGAGAGAGAGTATGAATATATACATATGAGAGAGGGAGAAAAGGAGAGAGAGTATGAAGTTTATATCCATATGGGAGAGAGAAAAGGAGAGAGGGTATGAATCTTATATACATATGAGAGAGAGAAAGGTGTGAGAGAGAGAGTAAGAAGTTTATATACTTATGAGAGAGAGAGAGAAAAGGAGAGTGTATGAAGTTTATATACATATGAGAGAGATAGAAAAAGAGAAGTTTATATATATATATATATATATATATATATGAGAGAAAGTAAGACGTTTATATAAATATGAGAGAAAGGGAGAGAGAGAGTATGAAATTTATATACATATGAAAGAGAGAGAAAGGGAGAGAGAGAATGAAGTTTATATACATATGAGAGACTGAGACAAAAGGAGAGAGGGTATGAAATGTATATACACTTGCTGGTCTTTTCATGTGGATTGGACATGGTCATGCAAAATGGAATAGGGGTGGGGGTTGTCCTTTCTTTGACTAAGACACTGAAAGAAGAATTAAACCCTAGTTTAACTTCTGCTTCTCTTCCTTCTGCATTGTTCTTTTATGTGCCATATCCTTTCAGGACTGGACAATCATGGCTCTCCACAACTTTCTCAGGTAAATTTTGCCTTTTTATCAAGTATTAAATCTGTCAACTCTCACCAAAATGAATTGAGCTGTTTTCTCTGAATCTTTGGCATGATATCCTCATCTTTGTTGTTATTACCACAAAGTTTTACCTGTTGTATTCTCCTTCCTTTTTCAGGTATCTGTCAATCTAGGTAATCATCAGTGAATTTTAAACTGAACTTATTTAACTGAATTTATTTACTCTATGGCAGATATATTTTTCTTGTTCCATTGTCCATGTCTAGGGATACCTTGTTCTGTTCAGTTTTAGGACTACACTGTTATTGCTTACTCTGTTTCTACTTAGCCTGACTTTACTACCCAGCCCAGGGACTGAACTCACAATTACTGTGTCACTAGATTAAAAAAATGAACACTTGAATTCTGTAGGCCATTTACATAGGTAAAGCATAGGTTCATAAATTTGGTGCCATACAAATTATGATTTCAATCCCTGGGCTGGGTAGAAGAAACTCAGACTCAATGGGAACAGGACAAGCAATAACTGAGAAGTTCTAAAAATGAACCAGATGAGATAACCCTAAACATGGAGAGTAGAGCTGGAACAGTCTGCCCCTGTAGATTAAATAAAGTGTTCAGTTTGTAATTCCCTGAAGGTTGTTGGATTGAAAGGTAACAAGGAGGCTGAAGGGCATAACCATCAAAACATTGTGATAATAACAATAAAGATGAGGATATTAGTCCAGTTATAAATAATGGATTTGTTGTCTTTTTTACATCCTACCATGATGCAAAAACACCATATGCTCATTAAAGGTCACAGGCTACTATCAAATATTTGATATATCCATGTCTTTATATATACAAGTTCTGATCAAAAAGTATTAGGACAGTTGCTTATGAAGCTGAAGTACAAGGAGTGAAGCTGCTTGGTACAGATCAACCTTAAATTCTGTCATGTATACACAGTAAGTTATAACATTCTTGCTCAATTCTGTTGTTTATAACAGTGTTTGGAAGGAAAGTGTGTAGAGTGTGGTTGTCTGGCCACATCATAGTGGTTATGTCAGTGATTATGGCTTGTGCAGTTGTTTTTGACCAAGACAACATTCCCAAAGTCCAACAACCATCATATTCCTCAGATTTCACCCTTTGCAACTTTTTCCTCTTCAAAAATCAAAACCTACTTGAAAGGATCACAATTTCAAGATGTTGAAGAAATCCAAGAGAATGTGATGAGGAAGCTGCTTGCTATTCCAGAAAAGGAGTTCCAGGAAAGCTTCCATCAATGGAAACGATGCTGGATAAAGTGTGTAGATTCAGAAAGGGACTACTTCAAAGGAGATTAAATTCAGAATTAATATATGTTGTAGTTTTTTTAAAGCACCAGTCCTGATACTTTTTAATCAAATCTCATGTGTGTTCACTGCAGCAAAACTGATAGAATCCTTTCTTTCACTCTCAAAATTAGCATATTTTTTCACAACAAACAAATAAACATGAATAAGTATAACAATAAAATTTGAGATCAACCAAACAAAACAAAGAATTATTTGCTCATAATAAATCTGACCTAAGGCTTCTCAAAGATTGTGCATTAATAACAGTCAAACAGAAAAAAATTTGTAAAAATTTTTAAATTGTAAAATAATACTTGATTTGTGTCTAACAGGCCTCTTAAATTTTAAACAGTCTTCAAAAAATATTAAATATGTATCATTGTTAGATATTCTTTTTTTAAAGAAAGCAGTTTTTGCAAAATATGTCTTTTGGGACCTAAGGTAATAGCAAAATTACTGACAATATTTATTTAAAGTAAATCAGATGTCTTATGAAAGTAAAAATAAAAATGAAAATTATTAGTACATACATTTGTGTGCATATCATATTCAGTTTTAGAGAGATATCTTCAGTTATAATATGTATAAGCTATACATTTCCATCATATCTAATTTATAGACTTAGATTTTGAGATCTATTTTTTTTAAAGTAAGGAATATGTAAATTATGTCTGCTTTTGTTTTGTTTTTTAGTTGATTATGATTATTTTCTTTTCCTTTATTTTTTTTTGCCTTGATCATTTTTTTTTATTAAGAAAACAGGCAAAGATGAAAGAAAATAAATTGAGTTATCTTATCTTTTTATGTTCCCAAATGTCCATAAAGTCTGATTAAATTTTTTCTTTGTATATTTTTTGTTTTTATTTTGTTTTTGCTTTTTCTTGCTCTCTGCTCAAAGGTCTCTTTCTCTATTTTAATTTTTTCCTCTTATTTTCTCTGCTTTTTATGTTTTATCCTATTTTTCCTTATTTTTCCTTTTCCTCTCTTCTATTTTATTCTTTTTCGTTTTTGTTTGTTTTATTCTTTTTATGCCTATTTCACTTTTCTTTTTTAATCACACTTTGTTTTCTTCTTTTTTTCTTTTTTCTCTTTCTTTATTTTACTACTTTACTACTTTTCTTCATTCATTTTCTTCTTTCTCTTCTTGTCTCTCTTTTTCTTTATTTTCGTCTTTTTCTTCTTGCTTGCTTTATTTTCTTCTTTTTCTTCTCTCTTTCTTTATTTTCTTACTTTCTTTATTTTTTCTTTTTCTTCTCTCCTGTTTTCTTTTTTCTTTTTCTTTTCTCATTCTTTATATTTTCTTTTTCTTCTCTTTCTTTATTTTTCTTTTCTTCTCTCTTTCTACATTTTCTTCTCTTTCTTCTGTCTTTCTTTATTTTCTTCTTTTTCTTCATTTTCCTTTAGTTTACTATTTTTGTTGTCACTTTCTTTATTTTATTATTTTTCTTCTTTCACTATTTCATTCATTTTCTTTTCTCTTTATTGTTTTTCTTCTCTCTTTATTTTCTAATTTTTCTTCTCTGGTGTTTTATTATTTCTTTTCTCATTCTTTATATTTTCTTTTTCTTCTCTTTCTTTATTTTTCATTTTCTTCTCTCTTTCTTCTTTTTCTTCTCTCTTTATTTTTTCTTTTTCTTCTGTCATTTATTTTTTTCTCACTTTCTTTCTTTTATTATTTTTCTTCTTTCTCTATTTTATTAATTTTCTTTTCTCTTTCTTTATTGTTTTTCTTCTTTCTTTCTCAGTGTATTTTTACTTTTCTCTTTCTTTATTTTAGTCTCTTTCTTATCTCTTTCTCTATTTTTATTATACCCATACTTTTCCTCTCTTTTTCTACTCCATTTATTGTTCATTTAGTCTTTCTTTCTTCAGCTTCTTCTTTTTAGCTTTATTTTCATCTCTCTCTCTCTTTAGATCATTCTTGTTTTATTCATATTTACATCTTCTCTTTTCTCTCCTTATTACAAACATTTCTTTCACTCCTTCTTAGGGAAAGAATTTTTTCCTTTTCTTTCTGTTATCTTATTTTTCATTCCCACTCTTTTTCAACTTCTCCCATTTAATTATTTAGATATTTTTCCTACCTCTTTTCTTTTCTTTCCTGTATCCTTTTTCTCTTTTTTTCTCTCACATATATACTTTACTTTTCTTTTTTTTTTGTTTATTATTCTCCCCACTCTCTCTCTCATTCTTTTTATTTCTTTTTTATTGAACAATTAACTGAAAACTTATTTTCTTCTTATGTTTTCTCCTATTCCTCTCTTTCTCCCAATCTTCTATTCTTTGTCGCTATCTCTTATTTTCTTTACTATGTCATTTTACACTCTCCCTCCCTTTCTCTCTCTGTCTATCTCTCTTTCTCTCTACCCCTCACATACACTTATATAATCTTTCTGTTTTAATTAAAAAATAATTGAAGGATATGTTCTACCTTTGATTTCCTTCATGAACTGGACACTCTCTTTCATTCCTGTCTTCTGCCCTTTTTCTCTCAGTCCTTTCTTCTTTTTTTCTCTTCTTTTTTTTTTTTTTTCTCTCTCTCTCTCTCTCTCTATATATATATATATATATATATATATATATATATATATATATATTGCTTTTTCATTTCCTTCACACGATAGCCACTGGACTCCAAAGGAAGTAGAGATGACTGACAAGAGAATTATTTGCAAATACTTTGTAATGCTGCCTGACTAAGTACCATTCCATGATTCTACTGGCTTTCAAATTACTGGATCAGCCACCATCTTTACATGCCTCATCACTTTACTTAAGCATCTAACAAAAAATTTCTTGTCCCTAACCACATCCTTCTTCTACCCAGCATGTCTTCTTTTATTTTCCCTTCTTTTTGGCATCAGTTTTCCATTAATTTGATCATTGCAGAAAACAGCAGCTGAAAATAATCATAAATCAGCCACCATCTTTTTTCTATTCTGTCTTTGTTGTCTTTCTTTTTCTTGTTACTTTCTTTCTGTTTTTGTTTCTTTCTAACATTTTATTCATTTTATTTTTCTTTATCTTTTTCCTTTCTTTTACTTTTTCACTTTCTCTCAATTTTTATTCCTTTCTTTATACTCTTTGTTTTTTCTTAATTCACTGCCGTTCTTTTCCTTTTTTTGCTTTCTTTCCATTTTTGTTCTTTTTTATTTTCTATTTCTTGCCTTTTTTTCTTTTTTACTTTCTTTCTATTCTTTTTGTTCTTTCTTTCTTTATTTCTTTTTTGCTTTTTGAATTCATAGTCTTTTCTTTTTTTCTTTTTGTTCTTTCTTTATTTCTTCCTTTTCTTTTAATTTTTATTCCTTTCTTTCTTTGTCACTTTTTCTGTTTTATTTTTCTTTGTTATTTTCTCCTTGCATTCATTTTTCTCTCTTTCTCTAATTGTCTTCTTTTCTACTCAATATTTTTTCAAATATATCCCTTCAATTCTTTTTCTTTTTAATTTTCTTTTTTTGTACCCTTTTTCCCCCAATTCATTAAAAAAACTTTACATTATTCTTTGTTTTTCACCTTCTTCTCTTCTTTGTTTCTTTTATTTCTTCATTTCTTTCTTTCCTTTTCTTCTTTGTTTCTTAGCTTTTCTTTTATTACTTTTTCCTCTTCCTTTCTTTTTCATTTTTCAATCTCTTTCTGTCTTTAATTCTCCTCTTTTCCATTTCTTTCTTTTTCACTTTTCCATCTCTTTCTATCACTATTTCTTCTCTTTTCCATTCTTTCTTTCTTTACTTTCCTGTTTTTTTGTTTCTATTTCCTTTCTTTTCTATTTCTTTCTTTCTTTTTTACTTTTCCCTTTCTTTCTTAGCTGAAAGATGAAAATAATGTTTCTTAATTGTTTCATGTATAATCATTTTGGCTTTATCTCTTTACATTCAAAATTCAAGTTAAGTTTTATTAGCAAAATGTTCTTTTCATCTGAAAGGATAATAGTAACATATTTTCTTTCAAAACTGTTCTTGATATATACAAATTTTTATATTATATATATATATATATATATATATATAGGGTGCGATGGGTAAATTGTTACCATTTATATTTTTAATTTTGTACATGTGCATTGTTCATTTTTGATTTTGTTGACTGCACAGTACAGTAGGGTCTGTTGGGTACCATATATGTTAAAAAGAGCACCATAATGCAGTTCACTCCACCAGAAATTTGGAAATGGTATGCTGTACTGCTTGGCATTCATGATGGAAGCTCCAATACGAATATTTCAGAGTGTTTGAGTGTCAATCTGAGGAGAGTGCAGAGGATTCGGAAAGAGTTGGATGAGTCTAATGGTGATTACAAAGGTGTTTGATGTGATCACTAGCTATAGCGATGTTATGCTTCCATTTATCTTCCCACAGGGTCTCAGACTCAACACAGAAGCCTACATCATGTGCCTTGAGGTGGTAGTGCTGTTCTAGGTCTGCTGGACGACCCTATGTTAGGCAACAGTACTCCGCACCATGCCACATAAGCAGGAGAACCCAGTCATAGCTGTCAGACAATTTCTGCAAACACGTCCCCTCTTACATCTGGACATCTAACTCCCCAGACTGCAATCCCCTTAATCATTATATGTGGGGTGCAGTTGAGCAAGAAACTAACAAAACTTCTTATAACACCAAAGATGGATGAAGGCAAGGATTATGGCAACATTCACAAACTTAAAGAAAAAGACCATTCAGAAGAGATGCTGGAGATTCCAAATTCATCTGGAGGCTGTGGTTAAAGCCAATGGCTACTCTATTGAATAAATTTACTCTTTAGTATTTCAAGATATTTTTGTGTAATTTTGATAAATTTATCTGTTAAAATAAGATGTCAGTGTTATTTTTATTTTTGTGTAATTTAGATGACAATTTATCCATCATACCCTGTATATATTGTGTATTTGGACAGCAATCAATCTTTTATGCAAATTTCATTAAAAATAACTGACAAGGTACTGTGGTTAAGTTTTTATTTAAATTTTCATGTGATCTTATAATTTCTTTCTTTTCTGGATGCAAATTATGTAGAAATTGTCCAAATGTTTTATATGTCCAAGTGCTTTTGTCTATACTTTTAGCCATTATCAAGGATAACATTCAATTAAAAGTAAAAATAAAATTCATCCTTAATAATGGCTAAATGTATAACCAAAACACTCAGACATATAAAACATTTGGACAATTTTAGACATGTTCTTTCTTGCTCCAATAGACATGAGGTATATAAGTACTTAAGAGACATAGACTGAAGATTATATGAATTGAATTCTTCATAACTTTAACTTTATTTCTTACATTATCCTTCTGTAACATATCTCATACATTTATTATTTGTTTGAATTCTATGTTCTGTTAACTATTTTTACCAGGACTCACATGAGTCCACCAAACATTGTTTGCAGGACAAATGTAGCAGAAGGCATAAAATGAATAACTTTCATTCTCGCAACAATGTCTTTTTGATGCACATTGACAGTCATGCTACATTCCTTCTCTTTTTGAATAATAGCTTTCTTCATCCTGATGTGGATAGTAAGCTCATTGGCGATCTCTCAAGATCCCATGCCATGACTACAGTCAATTATTACCTCATGAAATTCCTGAGAGAGCTTTTTGTCTTTACAAGATTGAAAACCTTTGCATTTGGAAGCCAGAATTTCAATAACCATTCTTTGTTTGTTTTACGGCATGTCAACCCACTGGGTCATTTAATGTAGGAAGTAACTATTCAAATTACACATTGTCCCTATAAGTTGTCAGAAATTTGCATATTAATAATTTGAATAGAAGTTAGTGTAAATAATAAAAATTACAGTTTGGGACTATGTTGTAACCTAGGGAAGGTTACTGAATAGAATAATCACATGAAGGTTGGTAGTGAACGATAATACTTAGGTCAAGAATAACACATATAAGATTTGCCAGTGGTGAGCAAAAGAAGTAGTCAACTGCTAAAAGTGAGTCAAGTGAATTCCACAATGAATCTCCAAATACAGACCAACATACAATATTAACTACTGTATTTATGTGAATGTCCGTAGGTATGATACAACACACTATTTACATTCAGACTATCATTTCTCAATATTTTAGATGCTATACCCTCCAGCCTTCCTCAGGTATATATTGATCAGTGTAATCTACAGGTATAGACTGTTCTCATTCCACTGTTCATGTTTAGAGGTATCATCTAGTTCTTGTTCTTATTTAGTACTGCACAGTTATTGCTTTCTTGTTTCCACTGAGTGCAAGTACACACTGCCTAACACAGGGATTGAACTCACAATCACTATGTCACAAAATTCACAAATCAACACTTTAACCCACTAGTTCATCAATTTACTATAGGTAACTTGGAGCCTTAAACCTAACCTATCTGCTGATTAGTGTTGCAACTGCTGCTGCTACTGGCTGTCATGTTTTGACAGCTGTTGCTTTGGTGAATACTTACTGGCATTTTTCTTTCTCTCTTTATTAGCAGCTCCCATATTGTATTTATTTCTATGCTAGAAAGAGATCCCTATAGTCTAGCATATGTGCTGATTCTTTCAGGTGTCTAACTCCCCAATGTTCTTCTTTATCCAGTATTTTCATTCCACAGGGTTCGATGGCTACCCTTTCCCTCTATGCATGCCCAATTTCATTGTCTGACCCTTCAAAGATTTATTTATTTCTTTTTATTTATATGTGAATACTTCCAAATATCAACATTCAATACCTTATCCCACCAATCTAATCTGAGAATTCTTTTCTTGTACAATTATTTTAATATATCTGTTCTTCATTATCAGAGATTGTATATGACCGAATAAAGTAGACAGAAATGATTTATTTAGTTAATTTATGGTCCCTTTGATTGCCTTTACAAAAGTGACAGATTTATTCATCTTTTATAAATTTGTGTAACCTCAGTAGAACAAAACAACCCACATTGGTAGCACATAATGAATGTTTACCAGCCTTTTCTGACTTTCATCAGCATGGCTAATGCTAAGCTCCAGGAGAGTGACTCATTGCACTTTGTCAGACTAATGTTTTCCACTGACATAAAGCCAAAAGATTATATTGAATCAGGCCTGCTGCTAGGAAAGTTGGCTCTCTGATTCATGCTAGACAATATTTTAGGCTTGCCTGGTCTGATCTATATATTTAGAGATTAAAGTCCAAAAAATAATCATTGGTCCATCACAGTTTCAGTCACTTTTCCACTGCCATAACAGAGCTTCCCTGTATGTTTTCTATAAATACTTTCATGGTAATTGTTTTGACGAATTTTCCTCTATGGTACCTAGATTCTATGCAATTAAGCAAGGTCTCATCATTTTACATTTGAAATAGCTCAATGTAACCCTGAGTTCTATGCTAACACTTTCTTTTCCCACACTTCTCGCTTGTGGTAATCTCTTCCAATTTCTTACTTTCCAGTCAAGTTTGATCTTGAAAAATTTAAATGTAATTTAATGTATCTTCTGTCTTTTTAATTTCTGTTCTTTTATTGTTCTCACTCCTTAATGTTTTTCTTTTACTAATATTCTTTCACACTCTGTAACCACCTGCATCTTAGTGGCTTTGTTGCCTTGCTTGAAGTTAATTGATAGAAAACAGTCTTTAAAACATTAATGCTAATATTTAATTTCCATAACAATTTTTAAAAGCACATTTTAATAGATATTTCATGTGTTATTCATTTTTAATTTAAATTTAACAGATTGCCATATATAACCAATGTTTCTATTGATAAGTTTTTTTTTCTTCATCATGTTCAGAATGAAAGAATTTATATTTACCTTGTCAAAATTCATTCATATGTTAGAAAATTTACAGCGTTCATAATAGTAAGTATTGTTGTCATCGGCTATTTCACATTACTACAAATTAGTAAAATGGAGCTGAAAAAATGTTATAGAATTGTCTAAATAAGTTAAAATAATCTGTTTAATTAGATTTTCTTAAATATGTATGAAATTATTTAAACACATGAAAAAATAGTAAGTTTGCCAAATATATATTTATTATTATTCTGATTATAAAAATTAGAAAATCAGCTCTATGTAGCTATTTCCAGAGTAGAAAATTCAAGTGGAATTAGTACAGTGTTACCTGGATATAAGAGAGCTGGCGGGACCGGAGAAGAAGTCTCTTATATCCGGGTTTGGTCTATTTTATATACATTAACACAGGCTCTAATTTGGGACCAGATAAAATCTCTCTTATATCCGGGTCACACTGTATAATAACAAAAGGAACCTTAAAATATAGATGTCTTGCAGAAAATATTGTTTATACAAAAATACTTGAAAGAGCAATAACAGCTACTGGGCTTGAAAAACTTATTTTCCTGAAAAGTTGTTTTAAGAGGAAGATTTTATAAATTTCAACAAAAAGTAACACTGGCTACTTGGTCGATGAATGCTGAATGTTTACTTATAAGGAAACAGCAAATATTACCATTAAGGATTTAAGAGAACTTTTATGACAACTTTTCTCCATTTATAAGATGAGTATTTGGCTAGTCTATTAAATTAATGTAAAACACACATTTTTTTTTCTTTTACTCAATGTAAACATAGTTTTCTGCTTGAACAAATATGTGCCAGCAAGAACAATGTAGATATTGATGCTTTCAACAAAGTGTATAGTTTCTAAGTTATTCATAACAACTTGAAGTAAAACTGAAAAATGAAATAAGGTTTTATCTCAACAGAAAAGTGTATGATCATCAGCTGCATATGCATCAAAGGCTAAAAAAATTGACCATTTGCTTTATTAGTTGTTTTCTAGAGGATATAAATCAGACACTGATTATATATATACAATTATATATA